TTTTCCACGTGAATTCACCAGACCTTTGTAGGACGACCTCTCTGGTGGAACAACAGCAAGCGGGAACAATTACTTCATCTCCCGTTGCTGGGCTCTGTCACAAGGTTTCTGCAGACCCCATTTCATCCACAAAAAAACTGTTTACGAGTATGGCAGCTTTAGAAGTGATAACTTTCCTTTACCTTTGGGAAATTTTCTTGTTTAGCAACCAAAACTTCAAGATGACAGAAGCGCAAAGCTGTGCATGTGTGCGGGTCCAATGCTGCAGCCAAGCCCTCCCCCTGCCCACCAGGTCACAGCCACCCCTTCCCTTCTCACACCAACAGCCCAGCAGCCCGGCTGCTAGGCCGCCTTTCTGAAGAACGTCTCCTCATCATCTTCTCATGTTGAGCAACCAAAGGAGATGCTGTGATTCTTATCGCTTTTCACATATGACTTCACATAGTTTTAGAGAAGATAAAGAGACAAGCTGCATGTTCTGTAACATTTGCTTTAGAGGTTTCAGTGGTAAAATGTTTGAAGCTGTTTCAAAACCAGACTGATATATTGTCTGAATATTTTCCCAAAATAACAGAGATGTTCTAAGGTTGCTGTGTTTACTGTACATACGGCGGCCATCTACCTCTTCACTACGAGCGCTGCCCTGGCTATGGAACTTGGAATTTTCTCACCATAACTTCTCCCTACCTAAGCCATCAAAAGGCTTTTAAAATGTTAGTTTACTCCTTCCTTCTCAGAGAGTGCATTACTAACACATACAGTTTCTCACCTTTCTAGTGTACAAAACAACACAACTGCAAAGCTGCAAAAGGCATTTCCAGTCCACCTGCATAGCTGCCTTATGTGCAATATCGAGGAAAGAGCTAGAGAAAATAAGCCTCATTGAAAAAATAGTGAGCTCAGGTTACTGGCCTCATTTACATTACCAAACCACCTAAAGCCGTGTCACACCAACACTGCAGTATGTCTCTGTTGCTGATTACACAGATCAGAAGGTCAAATGATTTCCCAACTTCACTTCTGCTCAGTTCGTGCACACAAACTGTCCCAGCTAAAAGGGTGCTCCAACAAACAGCGTGGAATGAAGTGTTTGCAGGAGAAAAATAACACCAATAAACTTGTTTGCTTCATTGCTGCTCTGTGCACAATGCAATCTTTCCACTGCAGAGTTATTTTCAGACATGTCACAAACAAAAAAAAAAAAAAAAAAAAATCAAGAATATTTTTCCTTCTATAGCTCCCTTCAAAAAAACCCCTGACAGCTCTTCATCTTCCATCATCCCCAATGAAAGCTTCTTAAAACCTTCAGTACATGCACGAGCTCAGCTCTGCAGCATCCCTGCAGCACTCGACTCCCTGCCCGCCGCGCATTGGGACCACGTCTCCCAGTCCCACATCTCCTCCTCCCACAGCCATCACAGCACTGAAGCAGTGCAGCACTGCCCACTACAATCAGTGCCTTTCCACCTGCAAACGGCTTAGCAAGGCAGGCTCACCCTCACAGCCAGGGACCAGATCTCCAGGTCAGCAGGGTTGGCTTCTGGTACCCAGCTTTTTCCCCAGGACGAAGGACTTCCCAAAACAAGCAAGTCCTAGAAATAACAGACTGTCCCACACTCTTCCCCAGAGCCAGCGACTTCCCCATCTTGTTCTGGGTTTTCACATTTGAAGCATCAATAAACAGCAGGTTTCATTTTTTCACATTTGAAACTTCTTTCTATTCTTGCTTGGGCTTTTGGAGAGGTCGGGGGAAAATTAGGGACTGTCCACAAGAGAAAGTAATGCTTTGTAGTTTCATTACTTACACATCAGAACACCGCATGGAATCCGCTAAGCTTTTGCTTCTAAAACAAATGCAAACTGTACAAGCATTTTCATTTTGTTTTGTTCCATTTTTAAATGGAGTCTACGTCCAGTTAAAGCTCTTTACATCAAGGCAGATCTGAATGATTTACATCAAATTTTGGCTTTTCTTTTCAACTCTACAAGTTAAAGAACCCTTCTCAGCACTGTCCTTGAGGGCTGCGCAAGTGTGTTCCAGGCTTACCAAGCTCCCTTGCTCCTCCTCTATTTTCCCCCTCAACAACCAGTTTCTGCACTGAACAAGCAGCTGATTTGCCCAAGCTTCTCACTCTGTATTCGGACTGAAATACACCAGCCAGGCTGTTCATAAAGACCGCACAAGGCTCACGAACTGGAGAGGAGCAACACAGCCCGATACACCCTTGTCAGTGCTCATAACTCATGGAAAGCCCTTCTACTGAATCAAAACAAATGTACACAACAAGAAGAAAAAACAATTTTTGTGGCCCTTCCTCTATTTTTATTCATTTTCTACCCGGAGGAACACCTGCAGATTCTCAGTAATTGACACCAGTAGGAATTTTGCCTTAGGAATGAGGCAAAAAGAGAATTAAAACAAGAAGTCACAGTTTGGTCCTGGGTACATGAACTACTATGACTGAAACTGAGCTTATTTAAAGCAAGAACTTCCTCCACAAGCTTTTATTTTGCCACACTGAACACATGCAACAATTTGTTTATCCTCATTAACTGCAAGATGTAATAATATTTCTATATGGTATCTAATGCATACCATTATATATAGAAGATATCCACGTTGCCAACTCCTTTGTAGCACGACAAACCACACCAACTTGTCCACTTTCCTTCACTGTAGTTGTTCCAACCATGTCCTGTTGGAGAAAATTTAATTTCCTTTCTCCACGTGTTAAAAATATTGCTCTTAAATACTTCTATTGGACTTTGAAGCCTCCCCTGCAGGTAGGTGAGCAGAACGAGGGCTGCCGGGGCCGCTGCTTAAGCCTGGCTCTGCACAGCTCCTGTTTGGCCACAGCCCCACCAGCCCTGTTCGCCCCAGCTCGCTACAAAGACATCATTTATTTTCTTTTTGTCTCATTTTGCAGGAGCCCTTGAATTAACAGAATGCAAATATTGTACAGACTCTGAAGTCGGCTATTTTGAGAATATTTCTCATTTCCCCAATTTCCTTTTTTCACTGTTTTCTTGTTTTGTTTTTCAAATGAAAATGTTCACTGAGAAAACATTTCAAATTTCTTTTCTGCTTTTGCTTAGAAGAAAAATGGTCTCCTGAAAGTAGAAGAGCGTCTTCAAATAGCGCCAGGGAACATTTGATAGAGTCACACTAAAAGCGTTCAGTGGCGAATGTAAGTGCGGAGTTGGGCACCAACCTCACTGTGGACCATAAGCAAATCAAGAGAAAATTACTTCTGTGAAATACAGTGGGTTCTGGGTGAGGTATTTTGAATGTCAAGTCTCAACACTGACACATTTCTGATTCTTTTACTAGGAAATTATCAGGGAGAGAAGTCACTTTCTATACTAAACCACTTGAATACACGAACTGCTTTGTCTGAAACCAGTAAAAAAAAAAAAAAAAAAATTATAACTTTTGCAGGAGCCCAGCCTTGCAAAATGCCAATCCAGGACTGGAACACATGGACAGCCCATGCAAAGAACTGCTGTAATGGAAGCGGGTAGGAACTCAGCCCGGCTCTCAGCACCGCACCAGGCTGCTGCAGGGCAGCTGCTGTGCCAAACGCAGCCGTGCCAGCTCCTCACCTACGGAGGGCAAACAGCTTTTCTGAAACCGCTCAGCTCTACAATCTCTACGAGTGCAGCATTTCTGCTTACCTCGAATCGGAATCTAAAGAAATTCAGCGCTGTTACGGGAATTTCACGCAGCAGCGAGACGAAGGCGTACGCACATACTCTCTTCAGCAGAAACGTACCACAAAACATGGCAGAGGAAAGGTTAAGTAGCATTTGACTGATTTTTACCTCATGGGAACTATAATTTACACGCTGCGTTCATCCAAGGTAAGAGGGTTCAAATGGCAAAAATTAAAAGCCTGCAGTTTCCTACTTCTGTTTTTAACATATCATATTGATACACAGCCAGTTTTTAAAGCGACAAAAGGTTTCTATCAAAATATCAAGCAGCAAGAAGATGTGCTGCTTCTACACTGTCAGCACGGCTGTATTTTACTGCATCCTTCCTTGCTCCTTGCAACCACCGTCGATGATTATAAAACAGCGACGGTCTGTCTGCACTCCAAAAGGACAAATTAATCTTCTGGACACCTGGCTCTTACAATCAAATCCTAAGCAGAAATTTCCAGGAACTGAAATAATTAATTAAAGGTTGGTTAAAATATAGGTTAAAAAACGCAGCTGTGAGCACCCTTGGCCTGTTCCAGAGGGAGGTGCTGGCACTGGGATGTCACACCAGCAGGATCCGGCACACTGCTCAGCACTGACCCCTTTATTCTGCTTTGGGTGCAAGAACAGTCAGCTTATCTACATATTTTTTTAACTAGTCATCAATGGACTTCGAGCATCACAAACGCAGATACTGATACTACTGCCAAAAGCATGAATGATTTCTATCAGCAAAGCACACTGACAGCAGCAGAGCTTTGGCAAAACGCCTGCTTCCCATGGCTACTGCCCTTAGGGCCACGCCTGGCTCCTGCAGCATGCAGTGCCTCGAGCATCTTTGGGGTTTCTAAGCACTGCACGACTGCAGATTCCAACTCTGACCACCTTTCCTTGCCAATCAGAGCAGAGACGTTGCAAAAATTGGGAACTACAGCTCTTTCTGGGTCAGTAAGTCTGTGTTTTTCCCCATGTCTGATTGGCTGGGGCAACTCCACCTCAGCGTTAGTGTTGACAGAAAATATGTGCTGAGAATTTTAGCGTTCAGGATGTTCTTTAGTCATTTTGGTGATCTGATGTGGCACAGGAAATATTAGTGCACATTCTGTGTTTTCAGTCGCGCTCACCTCGCCATTGTTACAGAACGACAACAGAAAGGGGCAGATCATCGAGACTGAAATTGTAAGCGCTGTGACAGGAGTCAGAGTTGGAGGAGGAAGGTGATAAAGATTCAGCCAAATGTTAAACTATTAGCTCATAGTCCGATATTTTAATTTCCACCCTGCTCTCAACAAACCTACCTCCAAATTTGGAGTCTGAGTTGCACACTGATGCTGCCCATGCTACGCCTCGCCCATCAGCGCTCCGGAGCGACCTCAGCGCTGCTCCGCCGGACAGCTTCCGTACCTCGGCTGTGAATTTAATGTAGAATTAGGTAAAGATGAGCTGCCCTTACAAGTCACGCCACCAAGACCTCACTTACATCAAGACCTTACTGCTCTTTCTGCAGGGCTCAAAGCGTAGTCTGGATTAATGATGCAATAAGACCACTGCATCAGCTGCGCTCTAGGTACTGTTCCCCTCCTCTGCTTATCAGCAGATCTTCAACGTTCTCTTCCCAATGCAGAACAAAGCTGCTCTTCCCCTGGCAGCAGCCCCAGGTGCAGCCCTTCCTGCTAGCATAAAAACCCCACCGGGGAGCTGAGCAGATCCCACCGGTGGGATCTTCCACCATTTACTTCCTCAACGCACACAAACGAAGATGGTCTTTACCTCATCAACCTCAATATTAATTCCTTGCTGTTTTCATGTGTCTATCAATGCCATTACAACAAAGAAGGCTCTAGATACAGGAGTTCAGCAGCAGCCACAGAAAATACCAAGAAGTCAAGTACACATCTTTCTTCCATTTAAAACAATGTTCTTTTAAAGCCCGTTAAAATCCAGCACAGGACAGGATGGTGCTGCATGTCCCAGCAACACTTTGGAAGAACATTACAGTTAATATCCAGATTTCAAAACAACGTATTAAAGGTTTGCACAACTTCCAAAAACAAACAGCGCATCACATCCCGAGCTCCAACTCAGCTTCGGGAAGACAATGACCTAATCATGGCCCTAATTATAAGCCATGGGAGCTCCCAGAACAAGGCTTGGTTCGGGAGCTGCTGGTTCTGTGCCCACACTCTCAGCCCAGCTCCTGCCCTAAAACTGCAGCCAACATCCCAGGGAAAAGTGCTGCTTCTGCTGTCTACTGACCATAAGGGAGAGGGGACAAGGGTGAAACCCTGGACACCCCTGCATTGAGCCTGAAAATTAAGAACCATTGACAATAACTTGTGATTTAAGCATGCAGCCTCCATGGGCTTTCTAAGCGAGGTGAAGGACTCTCTGTATTTATTTCCACCACTTTTGCATTGCCATGGGTTATTCTAATTGATTTGTGTTCTCACCAAATTAAAGACACAGTACACAGACAGCCAGTGCCAGTGAAAAAATATGGCAATAGCAAAAGTTTACAAATTTAATTTGCAATTGTTTTAGCAAAACAGCTCAGTCCACTCCTTCAGTTTTGGAAAGTAATCAGCTTGTGCTAGAGGAAGTTATCAGCTCCCAGGAGCAAGCAGCACAACGCAGCCTTATTTCATAAGAGATGATGACCAGTTTTTCAGTTAGGAAGAGGTGGATACTGCAAGTGAGGCAATGCCACATGCCCTGGCATCGGGGACACCAGAGCTCAGAGGCAGTGACTTGACACAGCCACGCAGAGCCCCCAGGAGCAGCGCTGGCACAACAGGGACCCCAAAGTCAGCTCGTACATGAGCAGAAGAGGGGAAGTTCCATCACCTACAACAAAAGGGTTAAGCCAAGATTCCAGTCCCCTGGTTCCAACCGTGCAGCCAGCACTCCCTGCCCAAATTACAGCAGCGCATGCCTCCAACAGATGCCGCTTAGACAGGGGCTTTCCTTGCCCCGAGGTGCAGTTCAGTTTGTCCATTCTACTGTGCAATTACAGAATCAATAAAACATCTCTTTGAAACTCCCTGGACTAGTGCCGACACGCAGACAGTAGTCAAGCTGACATTTTTTGCTGTTTCCGTTATTACTACCGTCAAGCATTCTGAGAAGCAAGACATCAAAACCCGGGCGCCGCAAAGCAAAGGAGGAAAAGCAGCGCCGAGCTGAGGTTTTGTTCAGAGCGTCACGTTGCTGCGCAGCCACATGGCACCAGACATACCTGCTAACAAAATCTGTTCCAAATCCTCAAAGCAGGCACTGGGAAACAGGGCTTCCGACACACATGTGCCCCATCCTCCTCTGCTTAAACACAGCCATGTCCTCGCTCGCTATATTTTGAGGGAGGGATGTGGGGTAGAGCACCTGACCTAAACAGCAACGCTCTGATTCAGGGACCGAGGGGCTCATGCAAAGCAAACACCGTGTGCCCTATTGCTGATACGTGCTCATGGATACGGCACGAAACGTGGGCTCTGTGAGCACACTGGGAGGTGGGGCTGAAGTCTCACCGTCTGTCTGCTCCTGAGCACACTGCATCAAGCATGGGCACAGACATGGAAACTGGACAACACCAAGAGGAAGGACAACACCTGGAAGGAAAGAGGAGGGTTATGGGGGGGGGATGCTGAGCTAACACGTTCAGTCACCATTCCCTCATCAAACCAATGATTCAATGGGGACTTACATAACTGGGGACAAGCCCAGCACAGAGGCATTCGCTGCCCACGAAAATGCAACTTTTTTCCTTCTGTAACAATTAGCCAAGTCTGCCTAAATAAATGGAAAATTTAACACTGAAGGTCTTAAAAACACTTCCTGAAAATTACCATCTTCAGATGTTTATTTTCCCACTCACTACATTAATTACAAATTATTTAATCATTCATTTTGAGCTCCAAAACCTGGCATGTACTGTCAGCATCCCACATACCTACATCTCTAGAAAAAAAAAACCTGTTAAAATTCTTCCGACTATTGCTTCTTGAACATCTCCAAAACTTGCATGTGGGGCAAGATAGAACCTCAGCTAGCCCCACATGGGGCAAGTTCCCCTGACTCACTGTCAGCTGGGTCAGGGCAACCCACCCTGGGAACCCTCAGATTCCTCCCCAGCTCATCACTGGATCTCCCTTAAGCAGTCACTGCCAGATGGACTGACTGCATGCCATGGTTGCACATCTACCCTCTAAGAAGCTTTGCTAGGTGGAAAAGGTGGCACCAAAAAGTTGCAAGGATGCTCAGCATCATCTGACTCTTAAAGACCTTTTGCATTCTATAGTTTCTTAAAACTGCTGTAACAGTTGCATCTCAGCACTCTTCCTCCAAGGTTATGCGAGATTCAAATGGTTTACAAATGGTTACAAAGCCCCTAATAACAAATCTGTTTAATCTGAAGGCTCTTTCACATTCCCATGTCCCAGGAGATGTACCGATGCACACTGGCACCAATGCAGTGAGGGCAGTAAGGAGCACTGCACCCACCCCACAGGCACGGAAAGGAAGGCCAGCTACCTGCCTGGTTCTACACACATCAGCTGCATGAGAAACACCACCTGACACTCCCCTGTTTGAAGGTGAACTTGCAGAACTGCATTTCCTTTCAGAGGATGCTCACCTGTCTTCTCTAGAGACCATAGGCCAAACAATAACTCATTTGGAGAGCAACTGATTTTGAAGAGGTTTCACATTTGGCTGCACACAAGAAGGAAAGAGGAGAGGAGGTGCTTCACACCCAGGCTAAGGCTGAGGATATATTGCATTTTCTCTCCAAGCCAGTTCTCTTTGTGGTATAAGATCGCGGGTGTTTTAACTGTAAAAACTCACTTTAAAGCGACCAGAGCTGAAGACAATGAGGTTGTGTCATCTGTACAAATATTCTGTACTGGAATGAGAATGCCGGTCTACCAAAGGAAGTTCTGGCTGAACACAAAACAGTCAGAGCAACTGAAACCGAGAAGATCCTCAAGCCCGGCTTGTTAGGAGTGACCTAAAATGGCCCAGATTTGACTCACCCCTCGCTACCTCCTCCATCAGAGGATTCAAAGAGAAACTGCAACGCAACCTTCATCGCTGCAGCACAACTGCAACATAGCTATTCTCTGTCATAAAAGAGAAAAACAAGCTGTGGGCGCCTGAATGCTGATAGATCACTTTTGCTTTAAGAGTATATAATGTCAATCAAAACTGCATTCCTTATGCTCATCACAGGAGCCTGCAACCAAGCAATACAAAAAATCTCATCTGAGTTCAACTAGTAATGTGTTCAAAGGCTTCCCAATCTGCTCTGTCTCTGGCATCGGCATCAGACAGAGAAGGAGAGACTGCAAAAAAAAATAATAATAAAAAAAAATCTCTTGCTGGGCAAAAGAGAAAAGCCTCTAAGCCAAAATAAAAATAAGTATTAAAATGTGTGTGTTGGACTAAAAGGATATACAGCAGGTTGAAATGTGCTATATCTTCCTCACAGTGAGGAAAGACCTCGATAACTCACCACCAGCTTTGATCACTCGTGAGCTATCAGCTATTTCTTTGCTGCTCGAGTAAATATAAGTCATTCACAGCTGAAACATAATTCCTCTCTCTTTCCCCTGCCACTATATGTTGTGTGTGAATATGTCTTGTATATAGGCACACTAACACAGCGTGCTGTTCAAATACACATCAGAGTTCACCAGATGGTGGGGATTGCCAGACACTCATCGCTGCCATGAGTTAGGAGCCACGGTGTAACTCATGAATGATGCGTCTAAGCTGTAAGTGGATTTTGCATACTTACATTACTCTTACCAGCATAATGCTCTGTTCTCTGTTCAACCTGAGACAGTTTATAATTGTACAACCTCGAGGAGTGCCGGGTGCCATGGTTTGTTCTCCTCCCAGAGCCCCGAAGGAGCTCTTTTCATCTGGGGTTATGATTCACTCCCGTGCACACAGGATTAGACGCGGTTTCATAAAACTGCGTCCACAATCAGTGCCCATGTTTGGGCACAATCTGAAACCCAACCTCAGAAAAACAAAGGTGTTTTACCAAAAATACTCAAGGTTTTAAGAGGCAATCATCTTAATTATGCATAGGAAAAATGCATGAGATTGGAGTCAAGGTTTTGTGCACGGGCCTCAGCATGCAGTTGGGCATTAAGATACTTGGGCAATAAATTATGTGAGCACAGGCTGCTAAGGATGTGAATGTTGGGTGAATTGGCAATTTCCTAGTCTTTAATTAATGATGGTGTTGAGAAAGAATGTGGCCTTCCTTCTAAATTAACAATGCTTTTTAATCAGCAAGTGAATCTGCCTATTTAACATGGAAGGTAGCTCTAGGCTTGCAAAGAGCATCCAGAAGGAAGCTGGGAACCTGGCACTGCACTCCTGGTCCTACTAGTCCCCTTCATGG